CGCACCGCCGCCGCCGCGCCCCGCGGCCACCAGCCGTGTTGTTGTGGCCGCCGCCGCTCCTGGGGGCCGCCTCCCCTCCGCTCGGATCTATTGTCACCACCACCAGCACCCCCCTCCTCGCCACAATTAATACGATGAATTTGCCATGATTGATCCGTATTAATAGCTGGGGTGGGTGGGCGTGTTTTGGGGCTCTTTTTCCTCCCCTTTTTCTCTTTTTTCCTTTTTTCCCCCTTCTTTTTATTGTTTGGTTTTGTTTTTGGAGGGGCCGGGCTGGGATCTGATCTCCACTCCCGAGTCCATCCCTGGTCGGTGCCTGAGAAAATTGCATCTGGATGCATCGTTATTATTATTATTGTGTTTGATCCAGGGAGATAAAGGAGGAGGGGGAGACAGAGGAGTGCGTGTTGGTGGGGAGGGGAAGGCTGCACCCTTCCCTGCACACACACACACACACACACGCAGACAGAAAGGGAGTTCCGTACATCTACATATATATTTTTCYCCGCCGGAACTTCTTTTAGTTGGGGAGAAAAGGAAGAAAGAAAATAAATTTTGTGCAAGAAAATACTCTCAGCTCCCTCTTTCCAGCGGGTCTCCTTTCTTTATTTTTTCCCCCCTTTTTTCCTCTCTTTCGAAGATCCTCGCCCTCCCAGCCCCTTGATCAAAGCATTCCGCTATTCTGATTTATTGCCTGCTTGGTGAGGCTTTTTTTTTTTTTACAAAGGCGACCTGAGATCAGCCATTACTTTCCTTGGCTCGCTTATAGGAATCTCTTACATTTGGTGCTTGCTGCTGGTGGTGGTGGAACCGCACTCGGATTCTTTCATCCCCCCCACCCCCTTGCTGTCCTCTCCTCCCTCCCTTTCTCCTTCCCTCTCTCCCTCCCTCCCTCCCCCGTTATTCCGCCGGGGGAGCCGGATTTGTGGCTGCGGTGGGGCGGGGGGGGACGAAAGCGAGAGGGAGAGCCGGCGAGAGACATGGATGGCCCGGCGCGATGCAACGGGCTTCGGAAGAAGCGGCGATCGCGGTCCCAGCGCGACCGGGAGCGGCGAGCCAAAGGCGGGCGGCGCGGCTGTGCCGCCGGCGGGGCCGCCGGCCCCGGGGCCGCCGCGCTCTCCTCCTCGGGCTCGGAGAAGGAAGACAATGGGCCCCCGCCGCCGTCCCGGCCGCGGCCCCCCCGGAGGAAGCGGCGGGAGTCCTCCTCGGCCGAAGAGGACATTATCGACGGTTTCGCGATGTCCAGCTTCGTCACTTTCGAGGCGCTGGAGGTAGGAGCGGCGGCGCTTTGTGTGCGCCTCATTGTGTGGGGGCAGCGGCGGGGGAGCCCCCGCGGCGCCCCCCGGACACCCCCCCTCCCCTGACCCCGGTCCCCGGGCCGGCCCGCCGGGGGTGCCCGCGGGGGCGGTCCCGCCGCCCCGTCCCCGGGGTGCCCCGCTGCCCTCCCTTCTCCCTCCTGCCGCCGACACCTGCAGCCCGGCGCGCCGCTCCCGGCGGGCGGCGGCGGCGGGGCCGGGGCCATCCCCCCGGTCCGCATCCCCCCGCGCGGGGAGCGGGGAGTTGTGCTCGGTCCCCCGGCGGCGCTTCCCTTCCCTTCCCCTCCCCTCCCACGGATCAAACTTTTCTCGCGCCGCCGTGGCCCGGCGGGGCCGCCCACTCGTGTCCGCGGAGTGGGGTTCGGCCGCGCGTGTTTCTCGTGGTGCCGCTGCGGGCGGGGGGCCCGGCCTGTCGCGCTCCCTGCTGGCATGTCACGAGTGGGSCCCGCGGTGGGCGGCTCTCGGCGTCCCCCGGTGCGAACCGAGGGGCCGGGAGAGCCGAGGCCGGGCCGGGCGGAGGGAGGGAGGCGAAGGCCCGCGGGGCTCCCCRGGCGTCGCTTCCCTCCGCCCGTCCCGGCCTCGCCTCTCCGTGTTCCCTCCGCCCTCCCACTCGCGACCGAGGAACCGCTGTCAGCCCGGTCGGGGTCCTGGTGGTGATGCTGCCATGGAAGGGAACCTCCAGCCCGTGTGTTTGAAGGGCTTTGTTGTTTGTAAGTTCTGAWCAGGAGAAGTTTGCTGTCGTGAAAAGGAGATTTATTTGGGTTTACATGCACTGGAGTCGCAACTGGAATGATGATGAACTGTCAAAATAAATGCGGAGGTGAAGCTGATTGTTTAACAAAAAGAAAAAAAAAATATCTGTGTAGCTTTTAAGCTGTTTAAATATTTAGCCAGGAATACTTAGTGGCATTTTCAGGTTTTTTTGTTTTGGTTTGGTTTTTGATTTGTAGCCWGGTTTTGTCCTTGGTTACACCTGTATCCATCCACACTATGCCTCCGACAGAACTTACTCTGGTGTAATTAAGGGAGGATTTGTTCACTCCAACAAACCTCCACATGGTTGGTGTTAGACTCGTGTAAGTAATAAGGAACAAATGCTGAGGTAATGTCCAGAGTCAATTTATTCATCATTTCTCACATAGTGAGTCCATCCACAAGTGCCCTGCTCAAACCAGAGAGACCAAAAGTGTGAATAAGTGTTTATTGGCAAGAGTGAAATTTGTATGCTTCTGCTTCAAACAAAATTCTGTTTTTCCTCAAACAAAGCCYCAGTTTGTGTGATTAAGGGTTTTTTTTGGGAATATGGACTCGAGAATTTGGCTGTAGTCCTTTTTGGAGAGGAARTGAAGAACAAGTTTAGAACTCGGTAGGGCATTTTCAAAAATGTCTTTATTCTGTTTCACTTTATATTTGTTTATTTTAAACTTGAAAATAATTGCTGGGCTCTCTTCTATTTGCCAAGCCAAGCATGGCTACTACTTGCATCCTCTTGTAATCTTGTATCATTAAAAAGGAGCACAGATACATTACCCAGTTCTGCCACCTAATATCACATTCAGATAAAACAATAGCTTGCACACTGAGACTTGACATACTTTTAATGTTCATGTGATAGGTGGCACATTTTGACCTAACGATTTCATGCTGCGTTAAGAAATAATGTCACAAAATCATTGTTAGGTGCTTTTYCCTGCAGCTCTGTATGTATGTTGAGAAACTTGTTTCTGAAGATCAGAGAGAGATGAAGGTGTCTAAGGCACAAGCCCAGTGTGGCAGGGATTACCCTGTGTGTAGCTGTCTGAAGTTTTTATTGTAATTCTGGTGTTGGTAGAGAGGTTGTGAGTGGCTGGTGGAGTGAGATACCTCAGCCTTGGTGAGATGTTTAGGTGTTAATGTGTTTGAGACAAGAAGCTTTGGGTGTTGTGGACAGGAGTCCTGGTATCCATACATCTCATGCTTTGGGTCTGCCCCCAGCTCCTTGGAGGCCACAGATTTCCCCCAGATTCCAGAAGATACTCATGCCTGGAATGTAGACAAGACTTTCCCAGTCCATGCTTTGTGCTTGAACTTCAGCTTTTTCTCAGGCTKAGCACATCTGAAAGGGTGCAGAGATAGTGTTTTGTCTGCTTGGTGTGAAAAACTGTGAGAGGCGAAGTGCAGAACGTCTTCACTCACTGGAGAATCTAAGCCCACAGTTCAGAAGAGGGGACACAGGTGGATGGTGGCTCATGCAGGAGGGAGCAGCCACTGTGGAGGGACAAGGCTGATCTCTCTGCTCCTGGGGACATCCTTGCAGCTGTAGGGGTGTGTGTTGGCTGTGTGTGAGGTGTCACCCCAGGATCTTATGTATCAAGTTGCAAAAAGGAGCAAGAACTTCTACACAGCTGGATTTCACCTGTCTTTTACTGAGTGCTTTTTGTCAGGCTGACTGAAAAAGCCCAACCTGTGCAAAATACCAGGTTGTGTGAAGCTTGTAGATGGCAAAGGTGCTGCACAAGAACACGGATCCCATGCCACTGTAGCTTCAGGAGGAGTTTAGCATCCAGTCTGCTGTGGTTATGCTGATAAAAGTTCCCATCCCTTCAAGCAAAACTTTAACCAGCTCCCACTCTGGGAACTGCTTTTCTGTCCAGGTGTCAGTAGCCTTCCCCTACTTGTTAAGTGTAAATTGTTTGGTGTTGAAATAGAGGCCATCTGCTTGTGGTTATCTCTCTCTGTGTTTATGGCGCCCCATGCCTTGGTATCTCTAATGTTAGTGTGGGGAATACAGAGGAAGAGGGAGTTAAATGAAGACAGTGGGATCTCATTGTGGATTTTTTCCTTCTTGGAGTGACAGTTGAGTAATTCCAGTGTCATTGCAGATGTGGCTGGTCTGATCCTTGCCTGGCCTTGCAAGACTTCAATGTAGCATGTGCAATGTGGGTCTGTCCCCTACACTGGGGAGCATTCTGGAGCCTTGACCTTCAGAAACCAGCCCTTCAGCTACAGTAAAGCAGCTGAGAGATGGCCCTGCAAATTGATCTAATTCACCAGGTTCTCCTGTGAGTGGCCTTGCTGGGACTGACTCCGGAGCAGTTACRCACACGTTGCTGCCCTGACCTCCCCACATGTGCCAGCCTGGAAAAGGAGGAAGGCACAGACACTTCATACCTGTGTTGGTGTGACTGGTGGATTGTCGAGCTGACTGCTTTTCCCAACTTGGAATAGCCTGTGCTGCACTGCTGGTGTGTTTGTTACCGGCAATAATAGCATGGGGTTCTCCAAACTCAGGTGGGTATTTTAGACACCAGTTTGACAGGGAAAGGTCATTTCTCAGAATGTGATAAATCAATCTGTTGGGATGACTTTCTCYGTGATGTACTCTGGCAGTGCTGGCAAGGAGGTTTCTGCTGACTCTCTGGTGAGGTGAGATTTCAGGAAGATGTTTGTCTCCCTCTTACCCCCTGTGCAGAGGTGTCCGGGCAGGAGACTGACGTGACATGGCTGTTGATGTGCCGTGGTGAAGATGGTTTGCTGTGATGAGAAAGGAAATCTGACCTGAATGCTAAGATAGCTTAAAGCCTGGGAAGTACTTTATGTTTCCTGAGTCAGCTCTGACCATCCCAATGGAGTAAGCAGTTGGTTTCAGGTTTTCTGAACACTGAGTAAGGTAATGAGTTTTTTCTGCGGATGTTTGTTTAGCTTCAACTCAGGCAGCTCATCTGACAAGCCTGAAATGGGACACGGATATTATAAAACACAGATAGAAGTGGGGTGGGAAATGAGGAACTTGCATTTAAATGGAGATTCTTGTTTTCTAAAACTGCCACAATTTCTCACCGTGCATTTGCTGAGCTAATTTCTGTTCAGCACACAGGCATTAGTCTGTTTTGAGACCACGCTAAATTATYGTCAGGTAAAGCCCAATATAATTAATTACAAATGAGAAATGCTGACAAATATTTGTTAAGGAGCTGTTTAATGAGCTTCAAATTCTGTGTCAAATGATTCCATCCACCTAGTGTAAATAATTTTTAAGCAATTGTTCCACGCCATTTGTGTGGTTTAGGCAGATGTTAGCTACAGCACTTCTACACATTGCACAGATAGTATGAGACGAGATGGAGTAAAGCTTAACAGCTGAGCTGGGCTTTAAAATAGAGACACTACACAAACAAAATGTGCAAGTAGCAGGAAGGTTTTGAAGATCCTGTGGTCTCACTAGTGCGTCTGTGTGCATTGACAGTGTGGCTCTGTGTATGCATCTGAATGCAGGAATTTGCTTTAATAACTGGTGTGTGATACTCATCTCTAGGCATGGCCCACTGAAAATAGAAATAGCTTGGCTGTGTGACAGCAGAAGCTTTGAGCTGGACACCAGAATGGCTGGCTTGCTGTGTGCTTTTCCTYCCCAAATCATTCTCTTCTCACCAGTTTTCTAGCTGGCCTGATTAGCCTGTTTGCTTAAATTCTTTGAGATTTCAAGCAAGTTTGTTCTGCCTTGTCACTATCCCTTCATGCTTCAAAAGGAATTTGATCTTCCTGCTTTACCACAGCAGCATCATAACATCAGGTGTTTGTTTAGTGCTGTCAGCAAATCYTGGTGGCCCTTCTTGTGTTTATTGACTGCTTAGATGCTCAGGTGTTTGTCCCAGTCTCTGTTTGCACATGCAAGTCTGCAGATTTAGASCAGCAGAGAAAAGAAGGGAGTAACTAAATGGAGATATCTGGGGATGAGGAGAGGCATTAAGCTTTCTGTGACACTGGGATATCATACAAGCGATGTTTATTATTTTCACTGTGTGTTTAGAGGAAACAGTAAAGTGACCTGAGATCAAATTTTGAGATAACCTTGACAGAGCAGCTGAATATCTTGATGAAAACCTCAGTGACCAGACCTGAAAAAACAGCAACTCAAAGGGGGACTGAAAACAGCAGGATACATTTTTCGCAAAAGGAATGTCTTGGGTGACATTTGAAAAATATGTTGCTATCTTTTGGGTACTTGAATACTTTAAAAATATTTTAAAATTACTTTGAAAAGCCTGATACCTCTCAAGGAGGTGAGG